GCTCTGCCTATACACCAGACTTTGGGCCCTCAGGGACCAGAAGTGTCCAATTCATGCCCACCCCCAGCCCAGAAGCCACCAACTCGGCTACACCAGTTGGGAGAGGACCCTGAGCACACCACTGGTGACCAGAGGGCCCCAAGGCCTTAGGAACTCTCTCCCCTTCCTCTGGGAATCAAGAGAAGGTAATAGAGCCAGCTATGGGATCCAAAGGCCAGCACTGGGTGTCCCACCCAGCCTGAGTCTCCTCCACTGTCCTGGCCCAGGCTCCATCCTGTAGATGATCCACAGAAGACCCGGCCCAGGGTTGGGGAGGCAGAAGTGAGCGCCATCACTGTGAAATTCCCACACTGGCCTTTGGGGGTGAGGGGGTTGGAGGTACACATGGCCTGGCAGGAGCTGTGCCCAGTGTGGGAGAATTCAGGATGCCCTCTGTAAAAGAAGGCCCTGCTCAGTGCAGAGGGTAGAGGCATTTGGAGATGGACTAGCTCAGTGGGATGCTTGGGGACACTGCCAGGGGCTGGGCTGCTGATCCCTTTCCTGCACAAGCCCCGGTTGCTGCTGTGTGTAGCTTTGATGAATAAGAGATGAGAAAGCAGATTAATTATGGCTTAATATGCACCAAAGTTGGGCAGAGGGACCCCTCAGAATGGGAGCCCTCAGGGGGCACAGATCTACTGAGGAAAGGCCAGGACACCCTCTGAGGCCCTGAGGCTAGGGGAGGGTGAGAGGCTTCTGGAGGAAGCAGGGGCTACCAGGGTAAGCAGTGTCCAAGGGGGGCTTCCAGGACGTGGGGCCACCCAAGCCCTTCCCAGATCTCCATTACCTATCTGGAAAATAGTGGTGGTAGTGGTGTCTACAGCACAGGACCAAATGAGACTACATACTTAGCAGGCTTGGCACAGAGTCCTCTCAGGCCTTGGGCACACAGCCACCCTCCGTGGTGACAGCAGATGGCAGGTCGGCACCCCCCAGCTCCCTGGCACTGGGACCACATCCCCAGCCACCCACACACAGTGCAGAGAAGGGCTGGTCACATTGGCACACTTGTGCAGCAGGCACACATTCGCCACATGACCTTCGAGCCTCATCCCTGTCTCTCCTCACATTTTCCTGGAGTGGTCCGGGATGTGTGCACCAAAGACCAAGTTCCCTAGTTCTTCCACCCCTCCCAGGAGGACACTGAAGGCCTGGATATCTGTGGGGACCACACAGGGATGCTTGAGCAAAGCCATGACAGGTCTGTCTCTCCAGGATGGAAACACCCTCAAAGCCAGTAACCTTCCAGTGAGGTGAGCCATGTCTCTGCCAGTCCAGGACTGGCCACAGTAAAGTGTTGCTTTGCCCCAAGCTGGGTTCTGAGTGGACCTGAAGGTCTGAGCGGAAGTCCTGCACTGCCATATTGGGGCCCCACAAGTCTCTTAGGAGACAGGAGAGGTGGGTAGAGGAGAGACAGTGGCCAACTGACCAAGAGGCATCAGTGTCTGCCTCATTCACGTGATGCACCCAGCTCAGATAGTCTAAGGGCTGGGCCAGGCCTCACATGCTGGTTATGGAGGCTAAGTCCTGGGTGTGTCTGAGAGGTGAGGGGCCCTGTGGCAGCCCAAGGCCTCCCTGAAGCACACAGAGGGTGGAGAGGGCTGTAGAGTGTGTCTGCCTCATTCACGTGATGCACCCAGCTCAGAGAGTCTGAGGGCTGGGCCAGGCCTCACATGCTGGTTATGGAGGCTAAGTCCTGGGTGTGTCTGGGGGGTGAGGGGCCCTGTGGCAGCCCAAGGCCTCCCTGAAGCACACAGAGGGTGGAGAGGGCTGTAGAGTGTGGGGATTGGGACCAATTCAAGAAGAGACTAGTGTAGCCCTGTGGCCCAGCCTCAGGCCATGCATGACAGGCCTATCGAGTCTCCAGCTCACTCCTGGTCACCAGGGCCATGTGTCTTAAAAGCTTGGGAGCTCGGCTCAGCGCCTGTGGCTCAAGTGGTTAAGGTGCCAGCCACATATACCTAAGGTGGCAGGTTCAAATCCAGCCTGGGCCTGCCAAACATCAATGTTGACTGCAACCCAAAAATAGGTGGGCGTTGTGGTGGGCACCTGTGGTCCCAGCTACTTGGGAGGTTGAGGCAGGAGACTTGCTTGAACCCAGGAGTTGGAGGCTGCTGTGAGCTGTGATGCCCAGGGGGATAGCTTGAGGCTCTGTCTCAAAAAAAAAAAAAGCTTAAGAGCTCAATCTGCTCAGCCAAATGGCCTGTCCTCTCAGCACCCTGGCTGGACTTCCCAAGAACTGAGTGGTATAGACCCCCATGAAAGAGGAGGTGGTGGCCAGATTCTGCCCACAGAGTCTCTGGGTTCTTCCACAGGGTTAGCCCACAGAGCTGGCTGTGCCCCTCAACCAGAAGCTCCAGCCCTAGCTAGCCCTCCCTACTGGCTTCTAGCCAGCTATCAGCTGCCCACCCTCCCTTGCCTGTTGGGTCCTGGAGGTGATGCCTCCATGACAACCTGCCTATAGAGTTCTCCATCCCCCATGAACCACCTCTCTGCCCCCCAAGAATCCCCTCAGCACTGGCCTGAACCTATCCATCAGAGCAAACACCCCGAAGTAGAGCCCAACCTCTAGCAGCAGGGGCACTGGCCAAGGTGCTGACCATGGGCAAAGGAAACTGGCACTGCCAGCTCCCTCTGCAGGCCTTGGCCCTGCTCCCACTTCACAGACCTGTGGGCAGGTGGAGGCCCAGGTCCCAGCCTAAAACAACCTGGAACAGCCAGGCATGGCTGCTGGAGAGGGCTCCAGTGCCAGAAGCCTCCATGGCACTGCTGGCTCCTCATTCACTCCCATGCCACCCTGACCCAGCTGCTCTAGAAGTAGAGTACAACTCTCAGCCATAGTGGGCTGGGTCACTGATCATGAAAGCCCACATGCCCAGTCAGTAGGAAAGGGTCCTCTCAAGTCCCCTCTGCAGGCACAGGGCAGCCTAAGACTGAGGCCTGGACCACACCAGCCCTGTCCTCAGACTGATAGCCACACAATCTCTCTCCTGGAAAAGGCACCTCTGCAGAAAGAGTTCAGGTCCTAGTCTGGGGGCTAAGAGGCCCAACAGGAAGGGTGCTGGTTTCAGGGTCAGGCTTCAGCTTCTCTCTGACTTTGTGAGCACAGCCTCAGGTTTTTCATTTGTGCAATGGGTAACAGAGCTCCTATGTGGCTGCAGGAGACTAACTGAGCCACCAGCGGCCCAGCTGGTGGCCCTCAGCAGTCAGAACCTACTGCAGAGGTGATGGTGGGTGTACACCCTGCCCCTTCAGGGGCTAGGGGCAGAATGACTGGGGGTTCTGGGCTCCATCTTATCTCCCAAGTGCCTGGGAATTGAGTGCACTCCACAATGGCCCAGAAAACCAAGGCTGAACAAGGGTGGCAGGGACAAAGCAGGCAGAGGTGTGGTCAGGGACACAGAGCAGCAGCCAGAGGAGTCTGGGCAGTGCAGCCTTCACACCAGGTCAGAGGACCATTCCAGCATGGCACAGCCCTACCAGGCTGCCTGCTGTCCTATGCTCAGATGGGAACTGGAGCTCCGGAGATCCTGCTTTCCTGGATAAGGTGGGTGGGCCACCAGCCCTGAGCTCTGCTCATCTCCCTTGGCTCATCTTCCTCCATGGTTTGGGGCCATGTCTAGGAGGAGGCAGAGTATACAGAGTGGCCTAGTCACCAGGTCTCTCTGCTTCATGTCACCAAATGAGGCTAACAAGTCTCCAGCCACAGGCAGGAGCCAGGATCTGGCCTCAGGCTGGCCCATGGGTTTCCTTGGGTCAGGGTCCTCCAGCCTGGCACCAACTCCGCCAGCTTTCATCCACGTGGCCCCCTCACCTGCAGGGTGGGTTTAGGGAGGCTGGGGCTGACCTGGCTCCCAATGCTCTACCCCTGGCAGGGCAGCCTACAGGACACCAGACTGGCAGTGGTCTGCAGACCCCAGGATGCACCAGGAGCTCATTTGTGAGGCTGAGCACAGATCCTCCCAGCAAGAGAGGGAGTTGGGACACTCATCAGTGTGTGTGTGAGGGTGGGGTTGTCACTGGGGTCCCTCAATTGTCACTGGGGGCTGGCTTGGTGAAGAGCGGGGGACACTAAGCAGGTGGGCTTGGGAAAGGTCTCCTAGGTTTGGAGGCACAGAAGGGAAGAGGCAGGGGACACCTGCGGGATTAAGAGTAGGATGAGGCTGGGTCCCATCCCAGTCCTGCGATGATACAGAGAGGGGTGCAAGGGTCAGTGGGCCCCCTGGAACTTTCTTAAACGTTGAACCCCCTTTTACTTACTGAAAAATGGAGGCCGTCCCACTCCGGAAAAGAGCTGCTGTAGGGGGGTAGGGGATCAAGAATTTAGCAGGGCAAGTAGGGCAGAGGCCTGGGGCACAACTCCTATCCCCAGGCCTCGGGACGAAGCCCTCGCAGGTTCGCGCCCACCCAAGCCGCCACGCCCTCCAGCCCGCTCCCCCAGCCCACTCCGGCCCCGGCCGCCATCTCCGCGGCCGCCTGCAGGGGCCGCCGCCTCTTCAGGAATGCGCCGCCTTTGTCTAGGGCGGTGCAGCGCCTGAGCTGCGGCGGGTG